TAAAGTAACGACCACAATAGGTACAGAGTGTAAAGTAACGACCACAATAGGTACAGAGTGTAAAGTAACGACCACAATAGGTACAGAGTGTAAAGTAACGACACACAAAGCTGATTTTCAACTACACACAAACATGGTTGCTCCAATAAGTGGTTAATTAGGACCCATTCAGAAGTCAACTGTAACAGAAACAAAATATTATAACACGTGTTCTCTTGAATTATAATTGGTATTCCTGCATGAATAACTATATACACAACACAATTTCATTCTCAGGTCTAGTTACCACAACTGGTAATCATCTTAACGACGGTAATTGTCATTTAGTCATCGAAGAAAATTCTGTTATCAAATTATTAGGATTAAATGTTATTGAAGACCAGCCTATGGGTTTATACAACGAAGCTTCACATTCTTATTGAAGTGGGATAAGGCATAAAGTTGAAAACTTAGCATCAGAAAAGCTGACATGTGGACATTCTGAAACAATGGAAGTCAATGTATAAGTTTATTCAGATCTGTTTTATACTCAGTATGATATAGACGTGTGCTATGTAATATAATGAGGCATAAATAACTAAATACAATAAAAGTTTCGGTCTCTATATCAAGATATTAGTTGGCATACACAGAACTATATTTTTAAAATATTGTCGGATATGATGACAAATTACCTATCTTACACCTAGGGCCAATTAGAGTGGAAGAGCAAGAGGGCAATTTGGCCAGGGACTCAAGCTGAAAGGGGGCCTCAAGTTTAGAAACTTACCTGTTTGCATTTAAGTTTCGCAACTTCTTTTTATGTGCTTCCCAATCAGACCAAAATGTGACAAACTCTCAAATTAGAGCTGCAAGCTATATATAGAAATTAAATATTCAAATTTTTTCACTTTTATTTTGGACTAATGATTGTCATATTTTGTTTTCATGTGTCATCATATTTATTATTATTATTATTATAACCAGAAGCCTCAAAAGATAGAAGTGGCGCGGACCTTTCTGAACCTCTGAGAGGGCCTACTCACATCACAAATAAGCTACATACATTAACATAGGTAGAAAAAAAAATACTGAAGCCTACTTTTTAAAACCGACAATCGTAAGGCAGTCATATAGCTTAATTGGTATGTGCAATTACTTTTAAGTAATGGTAAAAGTTGCTAATTATTGTGATCCTAACATACAGATGGCGCCACAAGTCAAAATATATTAAAATAAAAATTACAAACGATATTAGAAATTATCATCGAAACGCACAGATTAAATACACACACATACACAAAGAAGTCGCAAACAACGAGAAATTGCAAGTAAATGATCAATTTACTATTAGTAAATTACATTACATAAAATATAGTGAATAAGTTGTATAATCCACTAGTATCTTGTATTTGCTTTAAATTGAACAGTATATCTTGTTTTCATACTACTAATTTCAATGTATGATTGTGAAATATTATTCCAAATGTCCTGCACTACTCCATTCAATTCATTCAGATTGTTCGGATGCCGTTTGATCTTCTCAGTTCCATACAGCCTTAACGGTACTCACATCACCTCTCTATAATATAAGCCAAACTATGGTTTCAGCCTTAACAGTATTCACATCACGACTCTATAGAGGCCAAACTATGGTTTCAGCCTTAACAGTATTCACATCACAACTCTATACAGGCCAAACTATGGTCGCAGCCTTAACGGTACTCACATCACGACTCTATAATATAGGCCAAACTATGGTCGCAGCCTTAACAGTATTCACATCACGACTCTATAATATAGGCCAAACTATGGTCGCAGCCTTAACAGTATTCACATCACGACTCTATACAGGCCAAACTATGGTCGCAGCCTTAAAGGTATTCACATCACGACTCTATACAGGCCAAACTATGGTCGCAGCCTCAACGGTATTCACATCACGACTCTATAATACAGGCCAAATTATGGTTTCAGCCTTAAAGGTATTCACATCACGACTCTATAATACAGGCCAAACTATGGTCGCAGCCTTAAAAGTATTCACATCACGACTCTATAGAGGCCAAACTATGGTTGCATCCTTAACGGTATTCATATCACGATTCTATAGAGGCCAAACTATGGTTGCATCCTTAACGGTATTCATATCACGATTCTATGCAGGCCGAACTATGGTTGCATCCTTAACGGTATTCATATCACGATTCTATGCAGGCCGAACTATGGTTGCATCCTTAACGGTATTCATATCACGATTCTATGCAGGCCGAACTATGGTTGCATCCTTAACGGTATTCACATCACGACTCTATAGATGCCAAACTATGGTCGCAGCCTTAACGGTATTCACATCACGACTCTATAGAGGCCAAACTATGGTCGCATCGTTAACGGTATTCATATCACGACTCTATGCAGGCGAACGGTATTCACATCACGACTCTATAGAGGCCAAACTATGGTTGCATCCTTAATGGTATTCATATCACGATTCTATGCAGGCCGAACTATGGTTGCATCCTTAACGGTATTCACATTACGACTCTATAGAGGCCAAACTATGGTCGCAGCCTTAACGATATTCACATAACGACTCTATAGAGGCCAAACTATGGTCGCAGCCTTAACGGTACTCAAATCACGACTCTATAGAGGCCAAACTATGGTCGCATCGTTAACGGTATTCATATCACGACTCTATGCAGGCGAACGGTATTCATATCACGACTCTATGCAGGCCGAACTATGGTTGCATCCTTAACGGTATTCATATCACGACTCTATACAGGCCAAACTATGGTTGCGAATGTTTTATCAACCTCTTCTTCTTGTAGGTATCATTTCACCATTTTGCTGTGTGCATGGGATCATTGGCCTGCTGGAAGATAAACCACTTTCCAATAAATTTTGTTCTTCAGAGAAGGACATGAAGAAAAAGATTAGATTCTATCTGTGAACGATCGCTGTGAGATGAGATGCATCTCTGCCGTAATTGGTGTGGCGCACATTCCCTCACTTCGATCGGTCAAATAAACCTTGATCTCCCCCCCCCCCCCCACACACACACACACAC